GTGGTACCCTTGCACTTAAGCAGTCAGGGGTTTTACTCCCATTATTTACTAATTCCATAGAAGGACGGTTCTCTCTGTCCTATTTTGGATCTCAGAGTGTTGAACAAACATTTGAGGAAATACTATTTTAGAATGTTTACACACAGTTCTCTCTTATGTTCATTAAATCAGAACGATTGGTTCACATCGATCGATTTCAGATATGCTTTTTTTCCACATAAGCATGTATCCTCCGCACAGGAAATTCCTTCATTTCCAATCATTTCCAGAATAGCGGGTCTCATGATCCTGACATATAAATTAAATAAATGTATGCATTTAGCAGACGCTTTTATCCAAAGTGTCTTACGGTCCATTCAGGCTACACATTTTTTTAGCAGTATGTGTGTTCCCTGGGAAATGAACCCACAACCTTTTGCACTGCTAACGCAATGCTCTACCACTGAGCCACAGGAACACATATATAGACAATTGGCTGATTATAGCCAATTTAAGAGAGAAAGTAATGCAATACACTGCCCATATGCTTTCTCACATCATGGTGCTCGGCTTCAGAGTGAATGTAAGCTCACTCCTTCCCAGAATATGATATTTCTGGGTCTGGCCTCTCGCAAGTCAGGGAAGGAGCGAGGGTACAGTATTGCACATGTCTCAGACTACAGGGTCTTATGTCTTTGGCTGTCCATGTCCTGCCTCTGGGCCTTCTGAGAATGAGGGCGTTCATGAAGTGGGTTTTATCTCTTAATTTCAGGCCATTACACAATCTCTGCCGTTATGTCACAGTGACTCGCTCATGCTGCGCTACTGGAGGAATGCAGAGTTATACACTCATGGGACCCCGGTTGGGGCCATCAAGTTGCGTAAAGTGGTAATGACAGATGCGTCCTTAACAGAATGGAGAGCCACCCAGGAGGGCAGAACAGTGAATGGTGTGTGGCCGAGCAAACTCCATTCAGCCCACATAAATTATTTGGAACTCCTCACTGTTTGGAAGATTCTGAAACATTTTCTGCCCCACCTGCAGGGGCATCACGTGTTGTTGCTTTGCTGTGGGACACATTAACCGCCGGGGGGGATGCGCTCATCCAAGCTTAATGCTCTAGCTCACAAGCTATTAGTATGGAGCAGGTGTCACTTTCTGTCGTTACGGGCAACCCATGTCTCGGGAATTCTGAACAGGGGCACAGACCTTTTGTTGAGGGGGAACCCACTCTACAGAGAGTGGCGCCTCCACCCTCAGATAGTAGGTCTGCTATGGAAGAGGTTCAGTCGGGCAGCCATCAATCTCTTTGCCTCGCACGAAAACGGCTATTGTCTATGCTCTTTTTGCTATGGGACAAAGGATGTTCCCCTCAGCGTGGATACACTGGCCCACCCATGGCCCAATGTGCTGCTCTACGCATATTCCTCCACTCTGCCTAATATTTCCTACTCTGGTCAGGGTGAAAGAACAGAGCCTGTCTCTGATTTTGATAGCACCCAGGTGGCCCAAATCTCCATGGCTGACAGAGATAATTCCTCTTCTGTATGTCCAGCCCCTGCCATTACACATGGACCTCCTGTCCCAAGTGAACGGGGAAATCTACAATCCTTACCCAGACAGGGTGGCCCTCTGGGCCTGGCCCATGAGAGGGCAAACTTAAACACATTGGAGATACCCCCATATATTGTTGCTACCATTCAGAATGCTAGAGCCTCTTCTAAATGCTCCCTTTATGATTGCAAGTGGCGTGTGTTTGAGGAGTGGTGCAAGGGGCGCAAGCTGATCTCATATCAGTGCTCAATAGTTGACATTTTGGGTTTTTTGTTTGAAGACCTTATCGATGGTGGTAAATCTTTTTCCATTATTAAGGTCTATTTAGCGGCTATCGCTGTATGTCATGTTGGGATTAATGGCACTACAGTGGGGAAACTCCCCCTTATTCGTAGATTTAAGAAGGGCACTCACCGTTCCCTTCCAGTCTCTAGAAGAGCAGTTCCAGAATGTGACCTCTCCATGGTGTTGGAGACCTTGTCTCAGCCTTTTGAGCCCCTGGTAGATATCTCCATTCAGCTTCTGTCATTCAAGGCAGCTCTGCTCCTGGCCTTGGCATCAGCCAAACGTGTCAGTGATTTGCACGCACTCTCTGTTCATCCCTCGTGCACTAAATTCTCTCTCTGTGGAGATAAGGTTTTTCTCAGGCCTAACTTGGCCTTTATGCAAAAATGCTTCCCAGCATTCACTTGTGAGGTGCTTGGGCTTTCTGCTTTTCACCCTCCTCCTTTCTCCTCTGCGGAGGATCATAGCATGATGCATGTTGTCAGGTTTTGTATGCAGGTTACCACGTCAATTCTTTTATGGCTGGTATTGCATTCTCACTTTGTGGGGGATCTGATACTTGGTGACATGTCAAGCACCGCCTTCCAGGTGACTGTCCTCTGGCTTACAGGGCCTCACTGTAAGTGTACTGGGCAACCGGGAAGCTGTCCATATCTCCCATAGGTGGATCTCGAACACAAGATGATGAAAGAGAACAATAGCTTACTGTTCATAACCCCGGTTCTCTGAAAAATTGAGTGGAGAGTTCCACCAAGTTTTGCCCCACTTGCTGCACGAGAAGTGAATATACTCACTGAGGAAAGGTAGTGCGTGCAGGGGTTTTATGCACTCGGTTAAGGGGCGGCCCCTTACCTGCCATTGGGCACACTCTTCTGTCTGTCACGCCAGACTTGGTGCAATTAGATGCTTCTGCAGAGGTCAGGCACGGATGCCCTTCCCATAGGTGGATCTCTCCACTCTATGTTTTAGAGAACCGGGGTTACGAACAGTAACCTATTGTTACAACACAAAGGCAGTATGACGCAATTAAATGAGTGAGCCTCTTAGCTTAGATAGCAGATTAATTACCTCACCTGCTTTCACTCGCTATTAGGTGTGTTCGACTTGAATCAGTGCTGTGCAGATTGATCGGTGTTTGACATCAAAGTATGTGAGAACGATTCGAAAGCTTACAGAACTGTCTGCTCTCCATAGCTCTCGCAGTACTTGGATGTCAAATACCGATCGGTCTGCGCAGCACCGCTTTGAGTTTATAAAATGTGCGTATGCACAGATTTGATCTTAGAGTGTGCGTACGCTAAAATCCACGGCAACGTTCATATGTATAAAAATGGTCTTTGACGTGGAAAAGTACTTACCGCCACGTCAGGGTCTGAGCAGGCGTACGCACTTTTCCTTGTGGCGAAGTCGGAGTACTGCAGCTATTTGAACATCTAAGCTGCAAAAATAATAAAAGCGGTGTACGTGCAAGCACTGAATTCATTATGAACTTGATTGCATCATTAATGCTAAGATGCATTGTAAGAGATTAATTGTGCAGTGTAGTCAGATTTTTGCGAGATTAAACTGACCTAGTAGCCTAATGTTGAGTTCTTTACTCGCTTTCTGTACACGGTTTATTCCATGTTTTTTTAAAATAATTTTACAAGAGAACTTGCGAAGTCCTGCTTTAGCCTACTACTAATGTGTAAAATAGAAAACAAATGCATAAACGCATCTCCGGCTGTTTTGTCTGTGTAGCCTATAAGAATAGGCCTATGTCGTGCAAGAACGGTTTTTAATATATTCTATTTAATAACATTGCTAACTCTTTTTATTTATAACATCTGTAGCTTTGCTTCTGTGAAAATGAATAGAGACAATCAGCCTTATACTTTGTTTTTGTCATTTACATCAGCTATATTTGTATAAAATGCACTATATATTTTTGTGTCAGTACGTTAATGGCACGTTTGAGCAGCATTAGTAAACTGTAAATATAAAGAAATGCCAAATCACATGGCAGGTTTTTGCAGACCGGAGACCATAATCGTGTAATAATTTATTTTATATGAAACATCAAATTTTTCTTTCAATATTGTTTTTTTAAAGTTTTGCAAGAATTTTTGATATTAAACTTTTTATTAGTTGTCACTTTTTATAAGATGACTGAAAATTGGTTTATAATTATTATTTCTGTTGTTTCTAGAAGTAGTAATTTTGATAAGTACACACAGTTTGTCCACAGAATAATTACACATTATGAAATAAAAAGCGTCCCCGCACGTACCTCTACCTCCACCAGCAGGACCTCAATTTCAGACTCAGTAAAGTTTTTCAGAGGCCCCTGTTCTCTGGGTCTTCCGAGAGTTTGCAAAATACTGTCGTCATCAACAAGAATGTTACCAGAAGCTGCTTAGCGCTGTCGAGGTTTAACAACTTATGCAAATAATTTAAGGAGCAAGCACTGATCTATAATAGAGAATAGTCATTATATAGATCAGTGGGACCGTCACTTTTCTTTATTGCCTGCAGGATCAGCTGTCGAATGTCAAATCAGCCAAATTTCAGAAAATGTCCAAATTCCTTACGTGATCTTTAAGGCAACTGAATAATGTGTTAGCGCATGTTCTGATTTTTGCAGAAGAAAAAAAAAAACAAATTTTGAAAAAGCCAAAACATTAAATGCTTTTGATCAAGATTTAATACATTGAGAAATAATCCATTATTTTGTGTTTTATATTTTTTCCTATGATTTGCAGCAAAACTATAGGTAAGACAACAAATAGGCCTATTATTGGAAAGATGTTTGCATCATTATTTCGTCTTTATGTTAGACTCATAAACCCTGTCGACTTTGTAACATTCAAATTTAAAATAAATACATTTTATTTTAAGAATTATTTTTATTAGGGTATGTACATGCGTTTCCAACGCAACGCTATAAACGGGGTCTTTTCTTAAGTATGGGCCTGTACAGATTTAAATAAAACTTTCCCTTTGAGCCACATTAACAGGCACCTTGATATCAATTTGAAGTCAAATATTATTCAAGACTTGATCAAGATGCTGTAACATTATAAATTCAGTTTGGACGGCAATTTCATCCAGTGGTAATTGAAATTGGTTTAATGTATATGTAAGCCAGTATGTTTGACATTCAATTTGCATGAAATCAACGTCATGCAGGAATCTGATGGACTCATTTCCGTACCTTGTGCAGAGTTGGCAGGACATGCGCATGGTCATACAGAATGCAGTTGAAGGAACCATAAACACCATCGTTCACGTAGTACATCAGGGTTCTGTCATTGGCCCAATCCTCTTCTTCTGGAAAAAAAATAAATAAAAAATTAAGTTAGTTAAATCAGATTTTTATGTAATGCTTTACACACTACAGATGGCTTCAAAGCAGCACCTCAGGTGTAAACGGGACAATAACGGTGTTATTCATTGCCGTTAAATTGATAATATTACTGAATATTTGTCTAGTTACTGAATATAGTCCTTTGATTTAAAGTTTGAGAATGAACATTTTAAAAAGCACATTAGAAACAAACATGGTTTTGAATGTTTGCTTTTACCGTCTGAGGACGATTGCTCCTTCATGATGACCTTTTTGGCAATGATGCTGACAGCCAGCGTGTAAGCAGACGCTATATAATAGCGGCCAGGTTCAGCAATGATCCTCACGCCGCAGTCAACAGGGAAATATTTATCTAGTGCAGGGTTAATCACAGCAGCGATCTGTCAAGCAAAAACCCCACAAGTTAAGTTTGGTATAACCTAAACATCTTTGGTCACTTGAAGTTAAGATGGTGATTAAAAATAAATACCTCTTCAAATTTCAGTTTGGTGTTTTCCGAGCCTGGAAAGCCTCCACCAATATCAAGCAGGGTCATGTTATATCCCAGCTCCGCCTGGTGGACAACGCATTTTTCAGGTTAAGTATATTCTATTGAATAAATTAATGCATTTTGAATTTTTACAGTATAAGGCCACTCACCCCCATGTCAAAAACATAGCGCGCATCTGAGATTGCCTGGCTGTACGTCTCCGGATCAGTGCAACCGCTGCCCACATGGAAACTGACTCCAATCACGTCCAGTCCGAGCTCCTTCGCCCTCTCCAGCAACAGCCGACTGCACTTTAACGTGGCGCCAAACTTCACACTTAACCTGCACACGGCCTTGGAGTCGTCAGTGGCGATACGGAGAACCAGTCTACAGCCAAAGAAAATGTGTTTCATTGACAGGAAAAAAAAAATCACCACAATGCACAAAATCATATTTTGTTTATATATGGTTTACACTTTTAAGCAATGTTTTTTAAAACTGATGCATTTTCAAATAGTTATTCTAGCAAAATGCGCCAAAACAAATAATTGCAGTAATTATTATACTCGTTTTATTGACTAAAGCCAATTTAAATGGTCAGATATCACATATAATCTGCTTTATATCGGTCATCGGCCACCCTGTTCTCGACCATCAAAAACATCCATACGAGTAGACCACTATATGAAGTGAGAGCTGGTTTTCTAGTGAAGTTACTCACTTGGCATTGTCATGGCATCGTGCCACCTTCATGAGCTCCACTTCACTGTCAAACGTCATCATCTGCACTCCATTATATATATACTTTATATTTCTGTTTTATTACAAGTAACAAGTGCTTTTTTCGCCAACTAAATAATAATAAGCACTCACATAAACTTAAAATATGATTTTTAAGCTCTCATTTTACCCAGTCATCCAGATTTTTTTTTTTTTTTTTAAGTTTCTTGTGCCAGTAACAGTTTTTTTTTGTAAGCCTGTATCAAATGTATGCTTTAAATGGTTAATAAAAGCAAATTCATTATTGCAATAATAAATAACTAAATATCCAGATATATGAAATATACAACATTTTAACATAATTAACTAGTTGGCGCCAGTAGCCTTCGAGTTCGAGTCTTGGCTGGTGGACATTTCCCGATCCCATCCCTCTCACTTCGCTTTGTCTACATACTGTCCTATCATAATAAAGGCAAAAACAACGAAAATCTTTTCAGATGATTTTCGATATGACAACTTGCATTCATACAACTCTCATGTAGTTCTTGGGCAGGTTTGGGCTTTTTGAGAGTAGCATCTATTGACACTGGGCTTTTAGAATCCACACATAAATCCATGTATCGTCACCCTAAACCTTTCTAAATGTTCTGGTCCTTCAGGTTTGTATTCTTCATATTGTCATGGTCTTAAATGTTAATTTTGCTCCTGTGCTGTCCTGTTTATTTTCTGTTGTCCTTTATTTACTTTTCTTTTAGTACCAGCTTTGGGCAATATTCTGAAATTTAAGTTGGAATTAATTTAAAGTGAACAGGCCACATGCCACAGGATGTTGAATTGGAATGACACGAAGAGGAATTAAACACTGATACTCAGCAAGTATTCCTTTCGTCCAATACAATATTTGTGATAAAACATAAATAATTACATGATTAATTTGGACAAATCTAGTCCCTGTAAATTTATCATTAGTATTATATTTTTATAATATATTTATTTTTTTGCATAGCCCAATGTTTTGAACTACCCGGGTTTTTTTTTTTTTTTTTTTTTTTAAACGGCGATTTCACTGACAAAGAGCTCAATGAAAAATCGCTAATATTTTAAGATCTAAACGTTACTAAAAACATTCACAATCAAAACACCTACGACTTAAGATTTTATTAATTTCCACAATTCTGTAGAATTATTAAAGGGTTAGTTCACCCAAAAATTAAGATTGTCATTAATTACTCACCCTCATGTCGTTCCAAACCCGTAAGACCGTCGTTCATCTTCGGAACAAAAATAAAATATATTTTTGATGGAATCTGAGAGCTGCCTGACCCTCCCATAGTCAGCAAGGTAACTACCACATTCAAGGTCCAGAGACGTAGCAAGGAGATCGGTAAAATAATCCATGTTACATCAGGGGTTCAACCGTAATATTACGAAGCTACAAGAATACTTTGTGCGGCAAAAAAAAAAAAAAACTACTTTATTCAACAATTCGTCTCCGCTGCGTCCCCCTAGCTTTATTTTGGGAGTATCCACTGAACGCAAACGCATGTTGTTGTGTGTCAGCCGCACCACACAGATACGCTGTTTTCGTTCAAATCAAAGCACAAACAACGTAAAAAACATATCTGCGTGGCGCAGTTGACACAACAACATACGGCGTTTGCGTTCAGTGGATACTCTCCAAAACAGCGCTAGGGTGACGCAGCGGAGACGAATTGTTGAATAAAGCACTTTTTTTTTTGCGCACAAAGTATTCTCGTTGCTTCGTAATATTACAGTTGAACCCCTGACGTAACATGGATTATTTTACCGATCTCCTTGCTACGTTTCTGGACTTTGAACGTGGTAGTTACCTTGCCGTCTATGGGAGGGTCAGAGAGCGGTCAGATTTCATCAAATATCGTAATTTGTGTTGTGAAGATGAACGAAGGGCTTACGGGTTTGGAACGACATGAGGACGAGTAATTAATGACAGAATTTTCATTTTGGGGTGAACTATCCCTTTAAATCTCTCACTGGTAAAACTTGAATTTAAAAAGGTATAAAATTACACCGATCCTTAAAGGGGTTTGAGTTTTGCATGTCACTTTACTGGATGCTCTCAAAGGCAGAAGGACTCACCGGATGAATGGAAGAGATGGGAGTATAATGTGGCTAACAGATGTCGGACAGCCAAGGAGGTTCACCAGTGAAGTTGAATCCTTTCAGATAAGCCTCAAGGCCAGGGCCAGTGTGTACTTCTCCCAAGCAAGAATCCTGCAAGGATTAAAGTGACACAAATTTTACATCGATCCCGTCACAGCCTAAAGTACAGGAAACAAATCATCGGTAACTCGCATTGTGTCAAAGTAACGACACGTAAGGGTCCATTATCGTAACAGTCCATTACGTGGCAAGGTAACTACCACGTTCAAGGTCCAGAAACGTATAATGGAGATCGGTAAAATAATCCATGTTACATCAGGGGTTCAACCGTAATATTACGAAGCTACAAGAATACTTTGTGCGGCAAAAAAATTAATAAAAAAAATAAACTACTTTATTCAACAATTCGTCTCCGCTGCGTCCCCCTAGCTTTATTTTGGGAGTATCCACTGAACGCAAACGCATGTTGTTGTGTGTCAGCCGCACCACACAGATACGCTGTTTTCGTTCAAATCAAAGCACAAACAACGTAAAAAACATATCTGCGTGGCGCAGCTGACAACAACATACGGCGTTTGCGTTCAGTGGATACTCTCCAAAACAGCGCTAGGGTGACGCAGCGGAGACGAATTGTTGAATAAAGCACTTTTTTTTTTGCGCACAAAGTATTCTCGTTGCTTCGTAATATTACAGTTGAACCCCTGACGTAACATGGATTATTTTACCGATCTCCTTGCTACGTTTCTGGACTTTGAACGTGGTAGTTACCTTGCCGTCTATGGGAGGGTCAGAGAGCGGTCAGATTTCATCAAATATCGTAATTTGTGTTGTGAAGATGAACGAAAGTCTTACGGGTTTGGAACGACATGAGGACGAGTAATTAATGACAGAATTTTCATTTTGGGGTGAACTATCCCTTTAAATCTCTCACTGGTAAAACTTGAATTTAAAAAGGTATAAAATTACACCGATCCTTAAAGGGGTTTGAGTTTTGCATGTCACTTTACTGGATGCTCTCAAAGGCAGAAGGACTCACCGGATGAATGGAAGAGATGGGAGTATAATGTGGCTAACAGATGTCGGACAGCCAAGGAGGTTCACCAGTGAAGTTGAATCCTTTCAGATAAGCCTCAAGGCCAGGGCCAGTGTGTACTTCTCCCAAGCAAGAATCCTGCAAGGATTAAAGTGACACAAATTTTACATCGATCCCGTCACAGCCTAAAGTACAGGAAACAAATCATCGGTAACTCGCATTGTGTCAAAGTAACGACACGTAAGGGTCCATTATCGTAACAGTCCATTACGTGTAAAATTGGGAAATTGTTTGCCAGTGAAGCACACATTTTAGGACACACATGATGCCGAGAAGCAACTTCGCAAAGCCGGTAAAGTTAGTCCCGCCCCTGCGGAGAGCGCTACACCAGTTACCCAATAAGGAAAAGCCCTGCGTGGACAAACTATAACAGGCATCTCTGTCAGCCAATCGCGCCGGCTTCTGCTTTCGGCTCAGCCAATAGAAAGCGCTCATTCAGGCAACCGTTAGTGAGGCTCCTGACGGACTTCATTCATTGATCTTAAAAATAACTGATAGCATTAACCAACGAATCTAGTAAACACTTCAGCCACTCCACGTTTGTCAACACAGCTGGCTCCAACAATAAAGATCCGTTACAGCACTTAAAGTCGAAGTTAGATCCGCGTGACACACCGGCCACGTTGACTCGGAGGCCAACAGCGTCCTAACACACGACGCAACTAAACGAGCCACACGCATTAATATTAAACTGGGTCGAAAAACATTTTTAGCGGATTTCCCAGAGGCTAGTGACTTCATTTTTGATTAACGTTAGACGGTACTGAAAGTGCGTATCCCGACATAACGGATAAGACCTTAATTTCGCTTAGCAATATCGCATAACTTACCTTAAAACGCATTTACAAAGAGTGTTCCCATTAGATCAGAGTGCTGGAAATGAAGAAAGTTCGGCGTTGACCCGCACACGACCGGCTGTGGCGATCTAACGTACTTCTCGTACTAGTTTGCGAGCGGAGTGCAGCCGGAGCTCGAGCGCAGCTCTATATATAGTGCGGTGGTTTCCATGGTGACGCGCCAGCTGAAACCGGCTTGCTCTGCGCGAGCGAACCGGTTTGTTCTTGTTAGCGGCTTCGCGCGTGAGCGTTTGAAGCAGTGAAGAAAGAACAGATTTCCCGCGGAGGTCGCGGCAAGACCACAGAATGAAAGCTGCAGCCCGCCGAGATTTCAGCAGCCTGAATGGCAACCCCCGCTGATACGCCGTCACACCAACGCCAGCTGTTTCTCTCGAACACTCGCGGAGATTCGTCTTGAAGAAGGCTCGGCTCCGAAGCGAAAAGCTGATGTGCGTTTGCACGCGCTCTCCTTTTATATCCGCGCTGCGGGGCGGGGTGCGCGTGGCGAAACACGCACGCCAACTGTCATTGGCTTGTTTAGTTAACACTCGAAGGTGATTGGGCTCTCGGGCGAGATCCCAATTCGTCAGTCACTGACGTAACGTTGAACGTGACTGACTGAATGGGAACTAAACCATAAAACCATTTTGAGAGTCGCGCACAGTCGCACGCGCGAGCAGTCTTCACAAACAAAGCACGTCAGCATTTGAAATTGAAAGCAGCCTTCTGTTAGTTAGGTTCATATTTTAAAACATATAAGTCCACTGCATTCCAAACCACATAAATGATGACTTCGTAGAACATTTGTAAGGAAAATACAGACGGGCGAGACCGCACACTTCAAGTGTATGTTAACCATAAGTTAACATGTTCCATGGTGTGCCATAGCCAAGCCAAATATGGCTCTCAATTGTGTGCTATCATCTGGGCCATATACCTCAAAAAAATGGTCATCCAAAAGAAAATTCCCTCCAATTCTAAATCCATGACAAAACATATACG